GTTTCCTTGTGATTCGGGGAGAGCTTTTGCTTAGTTAAAGTGACGCCTTGCACCAGTACACAGTTTTCAACGGATAAAGAGGACACAATGGAACCAGTCAATTCCAGAGATGATGGTCGCTATGCAAAAGCTTACCCAGAATCACGAGGTGTAGCAACAGTTTCCTTGAGGAATTTATATTGTTGCGATAATTACAATTAGATAACTCTGTGTACCAGTTTTGTTTCGTTTCGTCGTTTTGTTCCGTTTTCTTTTTGTTTTGTTTTGTTATGTTTTGACAATCGGCTGATTGTTTGGACACATTGCATCTTCAGGTTGACTTAGGGGAATTAGAACATCCCCGCCCAGGGGTTGGTCTTATGTAAGATATAAACCCTTTCTTGATTACGCGCTTGCATAGGAAATTAAGTCTTGAAACAGGAAGCTAATCTTAAGGCTTTTTCATTTGGTCAAGGGCTCCATGTGCCTAAGGCAAAAACTTGAGAATTTTTAGCATATGATCTTTCTGAGTCATCCGATGTCACCTTAAAAAAGTCTTCCACGGCAGTTGTCCCACCTTTGATCTGTCTCAAGGAAATCCGTGTTTTGACTTCCTTCAACGAGGCGGCCATATCAGGAAGCTATTCTGGTCGAATGATTTAAACAGGACCATCAACTAGCACAACGGGATGTGAAGTTATGTTTAATTGAAGACCGAAATCCGCCTTGGCGTGCTTTTTCGTGTTTTGTATCCAAATAAACCAGAATGGTGTCAGTAATATTCAAGATAATTGCTTTGGCAGCGACTGTTTGGTAGGATACTACATATATTTTTTTCTAATGCTGGAAATCAAGCAGTATGTTGTTATTATGTTTATAGAGTGCACGGGATGGAATTTTATTGTACATTCTCTGCACAGTAAAGAATCCCAGAACATGCTCTTGATAATGCAGATTTTATTTCTGAAATCTTAAGTCTTAACAAATTAGACATGCACGCTTAATACCTTAGCGAAATTCGAAAAAGTCTGCCCTCTCGTAAACTTTCTGGCAGGAGACGCATTTTAGTTCACACTAGTTTTTTACTATGGCGTTAAAGTGGTAATTGGTTGACATTATTCCCCACAATGAAAGCTTCAAATTTTTAATGCGAACGTATAAACGCACGTAATAATAACAGTCAAACGAAACCGCCAAGGAGCAATATGATTTGATCAAAGTCCAGGATGCACTTGTATGACTTGTAAAATGGCTCAAACGTGCAATAAAAGGGCAATGAACACTAGGTTAAGCATGTGCTCAAACTGACAATTTTCAGTTGGATTTGCTTTAAATCTTTACGCATATGTATTCACATTACGAGCCTATCTTGGTGAATTTATTTCCATTCATTCGTAGCAAGGACTTCGTATAATTATCTAGGTTTATCTGTAATTCTCTTGTCCTTACCAGTGTGTTGCGCATATTGTCATCTTCATGTGTTGGTTCATTTAGATTGGACAATAATCTGCTTGATGCCTTTCAAAATAAGACTATTTTCTATTTTAGTCAATCTTCTTTGAAGTTCCTTTACTAAGGAATTCCACTTTTAGACAGAATTACAATTGTCTGTTATTTGTACAATATGTAAGTATACACGTATAGCATTTTACTCGCCTTTGGGAACTATTTGCAGAAATTTCTAGGATAACAAAAAAGATGAAAAGAAAGATTTGACGGTGAGCCACGTTTTCAGTTATGGTAAAAAACTTTCCAGCGCGACTATTAGGTTGTATTTGTTGGCCGAGCCTTGAGTGTTGATTGTCTTTACAGCATAGTCATGATAACTCCTATCTACAAACAAGTTTTCAAAAAAATGCAGATGCATGCACCCAAAGTTTTCACGATCCTATTTCAAAACTTGATTGAATAAGTTTAAGTTGAGAAATGTCAAAAGTTCGATAACCCAAAAGCATGCAAATATTAGGTTGAGCTCGTATGGAACTTGGCTCATCTACCGCGAGCCAAATTCTTGAGCACACTTAATGATTCGGCTATTACGCGTGGCCATCTATGCCTGCAGGCATGCAGTACATAACCGGATTCAGCTGCCCTGTAGCTATTCTCTCACACACAACACCGCTCCATTATAATGCGTATGGCGCCACTTTCCATTTTCTGCCCGTATGGTATGCAATTGCCATCTGTTTCGGGTCGATACAAATCTGGATTGTTAAAAGGTGGCTAATGACCTATTCCATTGATGATACACTGCCAAGATCCACCCCTTTTACAGTTCAGCCACACCCTGGTCTCCCCTTGCTTCTTAAGTAGCAAATTGGCGAAGGCGTTTTCCTCAGCCGACGTCGGCATCAGCAAGTCGCTTCCTATCTCCTGACAGAAGCGTTTGGCTTCCGCCCTTGGCATGAGTGTTGACTTCAGCATGTATTCGACCGGCGCGCTCCTGCCACATTGGAGGACATAGGATACCTCCCGAAATCGTTGACAAGGAGAAAATTCCATTGAGAGAACAACCGAATCAAATTTATTCAGGAGATACGTTCTCATATATTGGGATTTGTGGAAACTTGAGAGAAAGTATACCAGTGAGAAACTAGCTCAATAAAAATACGCTGCTAATAATAATTTGCACAGAGCGTTTATAGTTCTATTGAGAAAAGATCACACAATGTTTTTGCGAGGACTAGCTGTTTAAAGTGCCCTTTTGTGGGAGTTTTACGCATGATTCTGCGTGGTAAATTGAGAGCTGTGACATTAAACAAAACCATGGAAACACGCTCTATGTGCTTCCTCATTCAGGGACAAACAATGTAAAAATCCATCGAATTTAGGTTACCTTTGGTTGCCATCTGTCACCATTGGGAACGTGAGAGTTAAGTATGCAAGGTTGCTGTAAAGTAAGCAACTGCAGTTAGCGCTCTCTCCCTCAATAATAATTGATCAAGTATCAATCAATTAATTAATTAATTAATTAATTAGTAGTAGTAATGATCCAGTATTAAACACAACTTATTAGCAGAGGTGATATCGCATACAATTTAATCTCTGCTTACATTCTGATTAAAGCCCTAAAACAGCGAAATAGTCCTCCCCATGTTCTAAAATGGAATGATTTGTCTTGTGATTTTAAACGTTTCAATCTAAATCTAAATTAAACTTTTCAATCTAAATCTCAATTTTAAGAATTTGAAAGAGGCAAAATTTACACTACGATCAAAAGTGAGAATGATCAATTTGTTCAAAAGCGGATAATTTTTACACAAAACAATACTTCAAGAGATAAAGAAACAAAACTATTTACAAATGATTTGATTATGTATTGATGATTAAAATACATTCTACCGATGTCACTCATTCTTCGTTAAGTTAAGCAGTGATCAATCTCAGTGGTTTATCCAAGCCTAGAAAATGTTACGAAGAATAGTTGCGACAATATACAGAAGCTATCATTTTGTATGTTTGTTTATTGATTCTAAGTAAAGATTTCTGCTGTTTCCATTTTCTTTAAGAAAACACGACCTCTAAAAATGAGTATGCTCTTCGTGTGAGCGCAACGTTCACGGCAATCCTGTTGAAGATGACGAGTGATCTGTTAGCAATGCAACGAAATCGGTTCTATATAGGGTAGCCACTTGAACAACTTCCTTACACTAGAAGCACAGTGCAGCACTTAAACACATGCAATAATGCCAGCTGTTAATTAATCATGGCCTTTAATTTGTTTTCTTTCTGAATTTCATCTCAGACGTCTTGAGGGAGTAATTGTATCCTTTCCAACGTCTCCAGACAACTCCCTGTGCGTATCTATTGTTGGGTCCTCCAAGGTAATTACCATTCAGGTTAGACTGATGACAACGCTCGTACCACCAAGCCCCATGGTAGACTCTAGCACAGTTTCCAGTTAAGAACTCATCGTTGTCCCGATCTTTGGTTGTGAATGGTTTATTGCTGTGACGGGTCAGTGAATCACCTGAAAAGTGACAATAATGATAATGACAAAAACAAGGATTAGTATTCTCCACAGACAAGCAACCACACAGCAGAGCACTAGTTCTGAGCAACGTTGTTTTTATTGAAATTAAAGGGTACTTCCATTTAGATTTGTTCTGGGGAAAGGTGAAATTATATACATGTATTCCTAAGGCACGAAGAGCGTTGAGGGTGTATGATCAACACTGACTTTTGGGAGGTAAGCATTTATGCCTCATTTTAAAGTCTTAGTATTTCTGAATTATCATTTAGATTAAAGATTTAGGACTTGTTAAGACTTCAATTGCATTACGATTTCGTTACAGAAGAGAAGGATTTGCGTCAAGTTCATTCTCCTCCTCCTCCTCCTCCTCTTCCTCCTCAAATAAACCTCATTTTCCTGTATTTTCGTCCCATTTGTTAGGATTTTATGGATATGGACATCGTTTATATGGTCTCTTACCAGCTGTTCCTGAATACTGGCCCAAAGTTAACCGATAGTTGTCACTCAAGTCGGCAACACGGAACGAACTGTAGACAGCATAAACAGAGTTGCCCTGGAAGTCTGTGAGATCAACTCGTAGTATGTAGTCATCTTGAGAGGTCAGTCGATGTAGATTATCATTACCCAGCCAGAACTCACCGTCTACATCACCGAAGCCTTGGCGATAACTATCAAAGTCGCGGTAGAAATCAACTGAGCCGTCCTTACGACGCTGAAACACCTGCGATTTAGGGAAATTACAAGTGTAAAAGGTAGTCAGGTTGTGTTTTAAGCCAATTATTATAATCAATTAACTACAACACTTACGGTCATAATGCTGAATCAATTATTATAAGCCGTTTTTCAAACACGGCTTCATCTCCGTCGTGGATGCTTGACCTTTGTGTTTCCACCTTGATATAGCTGAATAACTTGCAACTGAGGCATAAGGTATTTAGATATACATTGTACATAAAACCAGAAATATTAGCAGACTTGCCATGATTTGGTTTGCGTACTAATGGTTTTAAGGTCAGAGACGACTTTGAAAAAGGGCCTTTATTACCGTCCATCCACCGCCGTCAGTGTTCATATCGCAGTACACCTCAATGTCTGCTCCGCCGTCTAGGGGCTTCACTTTGTAAACGCCACTACTTGTCACACCCATAGCTAAGGCATCAGAACAATCCTTGAAAATGGCCACTATAGAACAAGAACGAAGGGTGTTCAGAACCCTTAGCAGTATTTAGAGAAACTGTGTATTAACATGTACGTTATGTTCACGTGACCCAAATACATGTATGCGTTAGGCATGAGCAAATATAGAACAAACATTTCGCAGGCGGGGGGGGGGATTTGCGAATTATTGTTTACATTTAAAGGACTTTTCGAGGGATGAGGCAAACTCAGGGCTTTTTACAAAGACATGAAGGTGGATGAAATATTGCTTGGGGAAAGGGGTGGGCGACCAGCTGCCCCCTTTGAATCGGTCAGTAACGGTAGGTCCCTCATCAAATTATATGACCAATATAATTTTCTACAAGTTTCTTTCAAGTACGCAGTAAACAAGTTAAAATCTGAAGGGGGTTTCCTGTGCCCCCGGTTCGAAAACTTTTGGAGTTCGGATTTCCTGCCCATCCCGTGGTCCATATGTACTGACGGCGTAAAGATGGTTTTAACATTAGCGCCGTCTGCGCATATCCGCATCGAAAGCAAGCGCTCTGTGTTGAACTTCGTCGAGTCGACACAGTACATGCAGTATCCGGTTCGTACGTGTGATACCACTTCAGTTTAAACCACGCCCACTGCACAAGATACACGGCCATCGCAGATACGTTAGTTCGTGGTAAATTGCCATTGTTTTTTCTTTTGATTTCGCGTGTCGAGTCATTCTGAAAGGCTCTTCAACAAAAGTTTGCAGTCTGAAAAGTCTGAATTTAACATACCTTTATGTATTTTGTGTCTTAACTCCTTACTTTCAATCGTCTGATCGTATTTGGAATTGAAGGTGACACATCCAGCCTCGTTTTCAAACGCGAAAGTGCGCAGATCGACGCTAAAAGCGTCGTATTGGGCTCGTGTTCACGAGGTTATCCACTCCAGAACTACCAGGTCAGAAAAGAAGTTATGCATGCCTTTTGCTAATGCTACCTATGGAAGGCAACATCTGCTTTGAAAGGAGACACAAACAAAACTGATGGTTTACAGAAAGAAAGTAAGAAATATTGAATCTAGTTGAAATTGTGACCCTCCGAAAACTTGCCAGTTGTTGCTTTTGAAGTTGAAGCAGTAGACGATGTTGTCGGTTCTGAAATTCAAGCATAAATTATTTTAATTGCCAGGACATTGGTACATCAATTCATCGAATGTATTTGTTGTGACGTCACACAGGTTTTACTTAATACGCCTATAACATTTTCGGATAATTTACCTGGTTGAGTTGTTGGTTTTGATGTTGCCTTCGTTGTTTGTGCTTCTGAAATGAAACCGAAGCAACGTAAATAAGATTTGGGAAAAAAGAGCAAATGAAAAATCACGACATTGCTTTATACGTTTGAAAATAAGTTTATTTTTTTAATAATGTTCCTTTCTTCATTCTGTGTTGCAAACCCTTATTCGATGGATTCTCTTACTTCTTGGTGATGTTGTCGTCTGAGATGTCGTAACTCGTTCTGGAAATGACAGAATGCAATGATTTGCCATGAAAAGGGAACGCATCAAAATGCATGAAAAAAATGTTTTCAGAGAAGAAATTAACACTTTAGTTTTACTTACTGGGTAATGTAGTGACTGGTGGTGGCGGTGGTTGAGTTGTTGTTTCTAAAATGAAGACAAAACAATTTCGCACCTCATTGTTTATACTTAACAAATACTTTTTTAAAATTGTCATCAGTTGCAAAGATAAAATTTGTGGAAATGCATACTAATGCACACTGCTAACCACAGCCCTTCTCCAGTCTTGCCAATGTGTTACCCCGGTGCTATTATAGTGACCTTAAATGTGAAGAACAAGTGAAGATCAGGTCGTGTGCTATCCATACAGGGGTGCGAAGTCAGAAAAGGCCTTCCAGCAAGGGAGATCCAGGGATTTTTCTAGGGAGTGGTCAGGCCCGTCGGATTTTGGGTGTGTTTTTATTGCAATGTCCTATTGTTGCAGACAAGTGGACACATAGGTAGTGTATTACATTGTTATTGACATACAAATATGTCAATACCCCCAAACCCCCTCTGGGGCGCGCCTGCCCAGGTGGTATTGTACCCTTTCTAATGTTGCCGCTTTCAATTCCTGAAAACAAAAACAATACAAAAACAGAGAAACAAAAACACAGCAAAAACAAACAAAAACAAAACTGGCACTATGTCCCCTATGGCCGTCTTCCACTGGCCACGTCACTGAGGCCTTTTAATGGAATTGTTTTATTTTTTGTTTGGTCAATATTTTATCTACAACAAATCGAACAAGTAGAAGATTTTACTTATGATTACCAAGTAACGTTACCTCGGTAGTTTTTTTTGGGTAAAAATCACAATTTTTAGCGGCGATAAGGGACATAAAATTTAATGTCTAGGCACGAGTGTATGCACTTTTGGAGGGTAATCGTCAACTTAAACTCCAACTTATGATTTCAAGCTGTTAAGCAAACGTTTGTTAAACCTTACACACCTCACTTCTTTACTCTTAGGTTTTTACATGATTACTTACCCCAGACTGTGGTAGATGTTGTGTGTTCCATTTCTGATGCTAGAGGGAAGAAAAACAAAACTCTAAATTGAGAATTCACTGAAAGAATTTAGTGACATTTTGTTTCTCGTAGGCCTATTGACAAGATGTTGACAAGATAACGAAAACGTATAGAGCCAGAAGAAAAGATCAGCACATTAAAACGGTGGATGTGTTGGGTTCTGGTCAGCCTCTCATATTGGCAAGAGTATTCTATTAATGGTTGAGTTGTATTAACAAAGATTGTTAATTGCCCATTGCCATATCGATTGGAACCACCGTTAAAGTCTGCGTTGGTAAGCTGGAGGTCATTGGTTCGAATCCTATTAAAGCAATCGTGTTTTACAAGCTCGTGGAGAGCACTGCAAATTTATCTCTTTCACAAGTGAACTCTTTTTGTTACACTCGGGCAAAGCAATTTTCGTTCTGTCAACGTGACAAGGTTTTGCTGTAAGTGTGACCTATTTTCGGTATGACTAACGAACAAGTGATTCAAGACATAGCATTTCGTGTTTGACCGAACAACTGTGAAGTATTAAACACTCAGTTTCTTATTCCATCTCCTGTCACCGTAAATCCGACGAAGTAGGCCCCTATAACTCTTTACAACCTAATTCTTTTTAAGGAAATGGCATCAAGACATTTGTTGCTACTTAAAGGAAAAATGCTCCGTTTCCTGAAATATTGCGTATATATATAATTTTAATACGGAGATAGTTCGGTTAGGTTTGTTCGAACCACGGAACATGTTGCCATGCAAGCAATTTTTGTTGGCATTTTCCTGTCTGAGTCTGTGTGATTAGGAATCAAGTCTACTCCTACTCGGGAATTCTCTAACAATGTTCCATCCGGCATTTTATATTTTTAGAACCAGCAACATGCAGCTAATTCAAATCATCGTTTGGCTGTACAGATACAGACACATTTTGCAGGCCTGACATTTAGCGGCATAACTAAGGGAGGTAACACCCGGACACCTACTACCCAGCGGATGTCCGTGCCCCGGGTGCACCCCCATGAGGAATCTTGAAATAAACGCAAGTAAGATACAAACCGTAGTTTGCTTGCAGTGTCCCTGTGAACAAAATGTATGTTCCCCATGTGTCTCCCAGAAATATCACCCCAATCAAGCCGTTGTTGACATTTCTGTCTCAGAAATAATGGTGAACAAATGGATAAACGTGGCATTGTCAAATTCATTTCATGAGCTTTGACTTGAACACACTTCCAAGGTTTGTGTTAATACTGGCTATGGGGTCGTTTTTAGTGCAGTCCTTTACTTTCGTTTTTGTAAATTGTGAGATAAGAAATTGTAACGCTGTAGTATTTATTTATCATGAATTTGCTGACGGAAGCCTTATCTCATAGCACTCAAGGCATTATGCAATATATCATTCGACGAGTTATGGTTGTAATTCTCAAAATCTAAATCTCACACGAAAATACACCAGCACAGCTCTTCGAACAGTGTTTTAAAAATCACGGCATGTCCAAAGATTACTGAAAGACTTCTTGTGTGTGTAAAGAATAACATTCAAGTACTTTAGGAAATTGGTTATGTCTTCAAACATGATACATGGACAACCTTAGTGTTGAAATAACTACACAATAATTATACGTAATTAACATACACTGCATTTACATCTACATATTTTGTCGAAAAGGAGAGAAATGCTTGCTGACGTTGTCATTTGGAAATAGCAATGAAAATGTCATGCCCTGTGTCCGTAAGCCGAGGGGGGGGGGTTACATGTAAAGGGAAATGACGTACATGTTCTAAATATTTCGCTTTGATTTGTTACTTACCTGTTGTCTTGGTGTGATCCAAAGACTGCGGAAGAAGTGACGGGGGTGTTATATTCGTTTCTAGAAGGCATGAAATAATCGTTGAAATGGTACAGTTTTATCGCAGACTTTCCGTGGTGCAAAATGACAAAAGTTTATTACTTTTCAAGTTTGAGTTGTCAAATTCATCACAGCATCGCCAACTGCCATAATAGCAAAAACCCTGCCAAACACGGACCAATTCGCCTTGTTATTATGAATGCCAATAAAGTATTACAAATCTGAGATTGTGAATGTGCCTTTTGCCATTTGGTGTCATTTGAAAGTTGAAAAGGTTTTCGTCAACTAGAATTACTTTCCATTGGTGCCCATTCAAAGCATAGAAAGTTGAACATTTTCAGGTGACTCGTAATGTACATGTTCTAGCAAACTTGCCGTCAAATTTAATTTGTTTTCTGAATAAGATTAAGGGCATAATTTCTGCTGTTATAATAGATGTCCTAGAACAGCCAGTGCAATTCAACATTAAATCCTAACCTTGAAAAGGAGCACTCTTTTTGAGGAAATGACTTTTGTAGCTATTAGTGTTGTGCAATGTTGTAGGCCTATGAGCTAACACTTCCGTCAAAATTATCCAGGGTTCAAACGTTACCCAGTTTGCGGTTGGTAATGACCTCATAAAGCTTACAACTAAACAAAAGGTGGTGGTAAACTAAGTCTTCCAGTCCGACCCCTCTAACAGACCCTATTAAGACCAACCTGTCGTTTTCCTCGCTCTTACATGTACGTGCGGTTTTGTTCAAATGCTTTGCACGTATAACGTGGTAGTGTAAGGCAGTTTTCCGTCTCAGAAGCAAGTATTCACCCGATTATGCCACTAATGACTTTAATGAACATTAATCACTGACATTTAGGTGCATGGCAATCAATGTGCTTTCTACAAATAAAGCATTTACCTGGCAAACTCCTAAGAATATCAGCAAGATCCGTCATTGCTGCTTGAAGTTGTTGTAGTTGGATCCTGGTGTCATCCCGAAGACGGCGGTACGTCTCTTCAAGCCTGGCTGTCTCAGCGGAGACAATTTCTCGGAAAGTTGAACAGTTGCAGCAGGCTTTAGGGACCAAAGGAGTACTGAACTTGGGCGGGTTGATTACTATATGTGGATTGTAGACAAACTGGTCATAATCAAGCTGTATTTCGGTCTCAGGGTGAGGTGTGGTGCCCGGTGCAACGCCTAACCCCTCAACATCAGTGTCACCACGTCTAGCATCAACTTGTGCAGTAGCCGCATCATAAATTGTGCTCAAGAAAACCAAGCTCAATGTCAGACGTACTAGCGAATCCTCCATCATGCTAGTCAAATTGAACAATTTTTTCAAATGGCTTTTCAAACAAAGTTAAATGCTGTGTAATCAAAACTCGCCAACTCTGGACTAAGCTGCGCTTTCAACCTGCCATTCATTCATTCATTCATTCAAACGGCGGCACACTTAGCTCAAGTTATTACTTGTCTACTCTTCACTGATTGGAGGAGACGGTCATGCAAATCCCATCGAGGGGCGCTGTTTGTCCGTTCAACGGCGTCTTTCGTTTCCCGTTCTGTGGGGGCCCAGACAAATTTCCTCGCTGAATACCATAGCTAGAGCTCAAGCAATAAAGCAAAGCTTTTAGGTTTGTCAATCGTCTCTCGATTTTGTAAGGTAGACTTTTTGAAACAGAAATTCATATTTCTTTATTCAGGTCCAGTAATATACAATCGTTTTCATTGGGTTGTTTGTTGTTTGACAAGAATTTCTTTTATGCACTTTACATGTAATCACTCCAGATCGTTGAGAAAGTAACGAATCTGACAAATGTCTTTCGGTTCTAAATCTTTACGGAATTTGGTACCACCAAAGGGCTGGTTGAGGAATCCCCGAGCTTAATTATTTGAGAGAGAATGGCGTTTTTTCGACTAGTTTATTTTTCTTCCATCCAAAAGCCCCCCCCCATGTAGCCTTAAGACTCATAAAGGCCATACAAGGTTACCTTAACATTTCAAATTTGTTGGACCCACATAAAAAAATTATTTTAAAAAGTCCCCCCCCAAAAAAAAAACTGTTCCTGGATGTGACTTTTGTACCATCCACTGTACTTGCCTTTTTTGACAACACAACTTGCGTGTTAGCAGTTGTGTATACAGTAGGCCTTGGGCCAGAGGGGGGAGGTGGGGCGAAAAAGAAAGAAGAGACTGTCCAAAATGTTGTGTTTGTAAAAGAATCTCCAACATCCCTAAGAAAGGTCGTAGCACCATTTTTAAAATATTGGAGCTCTCAAATTTTTTTTACAAAATTTCCACATGCCTTGGATTCACGGCACAGCTCGAGTGTTTGTGTTAGGAACTGACCCATTCCAGATTCAAACCCATTCCAAGCCAATAGTCAATCACATCAGCTATAATTCCGGGCACAGGGGACGCGTGCTAAAAAGTAAGGTCAGGGTTGAATGGCTACGCGACATTACATTTAACCTCTCTTGAGGAAATCCGTGATCTACCTTCCTGAAGGACTCCAACAAGTGGCAGGATGTAAGGGTGTAATTGAGCAGAAGATTGATTTCAGATTGTAACTAAGGTCTACGAGGTCCAACGATAACTACATGTTGTGCTTCTCATAAAGACAGTGTTATAATGTTGAACTGAACTTTAATTGACCTCCAAATTCATATAAAGGGTTAATTTGTTGTATTTGCTGTATATCTTTGTGCTTTATACATCTAATTAACACAAGGAACAGATCATTCCCCATGCAAATAGCAATAGAATTGTTCAAGTCTGTTATTAACTACTCTATGTAGCTTTCCATCAAAGGGATTCAATTTTAAAGATGTTTCCTATTCAAAGACTCAGTTGTGTTTTGATGTATATATAAACTGATGTTAGCCCAACAATAAAGAAAGTAAACTGCAGATACGTTTTGTGAAAGTATTTAGTTCCTCCACACGAGTTAAATTTTTCGGAATTTTGAAAATTTCGAATTCATTCAAAATCAGACTTGATAGAAAGAGTGCAATTGTCATCCAGTTAGCAACAGCAGGGTATATGGGGGTGTCTTTTTAAAATGAGTGTTTGTGTTCCAACTGAGCACCTTTCGCGAATAATTAGATTTTGAAACCTGCAATCTATGTAATCATTGCATGATAAGTACTTCTCAACATATTGGGACAATATCCATGCCAAGACTGGATCTCACATTAAACTCTCCAACTTTAAAGTATAAGTTATAACACAAATTACTCGTTCTAATTGCTAAGCAGGTTCTCTTTTTACATTAGCCCTGCCTCTTGTCTATTACCAATAAAACTTCTTTAAGCAAATAAACTAGGCCCTATACATTTAGATAAAAGAGAGAATATGAGTACCTTAAAACACACAGAATTTAACACAAGGCAGGAAACGTGTCCCCTTTTATCATACATTACCATTTAATTTATATTCAAAACAATTATGAAGTAAAAAAAATCCAACGTAATATTTTTTCCAAGGTTTCTCCACCCCATATGGGTGTAGTCTGATTATAATGTCTTCAAGTGCTTATATATAAGAAATAAAACCCTTTGTGTACAATATGACACAGCACACTTTACATCAGATACATGCCTTTAAAGTTAGCGTGTGGTTTACTTAAAGTGCAACGGGATGCAACTGCATTGACAGAGTAATTTGCTTTTTATCAGTCAAATGGTGTCCATTTTTTTCTACTTCCTCATTCATTACAAAAACTATAGGCCTACAAAGCCCGATAAAGGAGTATAATTCAAAATTATTGGAAACGCTTTTAGAAATAAAATCCATCGTTTACATTTGATGCTCATATCAACAAAAGTGCAAGTAAACATACTTGTAATATGTGGAAAATCAAGACGCATACTCCGACCGCGGTATTCGAGGTCCTGCAGTGAGGATTTATAAAAAATATCAAAGGTAACATTTTCAGTTCTGAAGTTTAAATGAAGCAGTGGGTTGCAAGAAATTCAACAATTTAAAAACAGTATAAAATCAAGAAAAGTATATCTTGGGTGCCCATTGTTACCAACTACTTTTTAGGACTTGAGAAATTTGTTTGGTCACCAGTTTTGAACAACTTGTTCCATTTCAGAAAGTGTTAATGCCTTTATTAGCATGTTTTCTGCACTTTTAAATAACCCAAGAAGCCGATGATTTCTGTGAGGGCTTAAGAAGTGACAACTTGGAAGGCAGAACTTTAGATCTCCCAGTGATTGTACTTCAGAAAGAATAATGCATTTCCATTTAGAGTTTTGTCTTATACCCATCAATACAGCGCGTGATCACCATATATATGACAAACGGTCTTCAATCTGTGCTACGTCCAGGCAAACCCTACCATCGAGAATGAAAAACATACACATTAATGTAAGTAATAAAAACTACTCGCTGAATTGTGCATATCGATGACACTTGTCGTGCACTTTGTCAGCACCACACTTCATTGCAGTGCTTACTTTACTTCGATAGATTTCGTAGTCACATTTTCCAAGTGAGAGTTTTGACTATGGAAACTAATGACTTTGAATTCACTGAGCTTCTTTCAAATTGTGAAAAGTGTTTGTTTGCACGCTGAAGTTAGCATAAACCAAACAAAAACTTTGAATTAAATTGGTAGTTGACAACAGTACAGCATTTTTGTAGCTATCACTTTAAACTTAATGTTTTGTCCAATTTTTTTAAATCACAGTTCTTTACGCACAATTTTGAATTTAGAGGACAGACTGCAACGTTTTGCCAAGTGAATGATTGGATCACTGGGTGTATATCTCTTCTGTAGTCATTCGTCGTCAGGCAAGTACGCCATCTCAACGCCGCACGTGCGTTGCACAGGGTAGAAGACTTGCATACTATCATTACTCCAGTACATGACAAGAGAGTAAAATCTCTCTTGGCATACTTCGCAACTAGAGAGAAACGGCAAATCATGATAAACATGAATATAAGCATGACACAAACCACGAAGATTAAGATTACAACAGTCGTAATAAGAATGGCGCTTATGGGTGGCATAACACCAGTGCGAAATTTGATTGTTTAAAGGGGCATGTAGTAAGCAACAGCAAATTAAAAAGGGAGTAGGCCTAGATCAAAATTGGTATTAAACTTTAGAAACTGGGGGACTTTAGAATATGATGATTTGCATTTTACATGCAGCTCAACCAGAACACGCAGAAATAATTACTGGTTTAAAGGCTCTTTGGACAGACTAACATCTGGCGCCAAACTATTGCCTCTGTCCAAAATTTGCCGACTTCTATATGCCACATGAATAAAAGGAAGACAACAGTACAGGAAGAGTTGAACTCCGTATATCGTCTGTTACGCCACTTGTAGATACAGCTGTTGGAAATTTAAATCAAACTTTCACAAGACACAACAGGGACGGAGAAGCGACTGCACAATCTATCGCTTACGTTTCTGGACACTCCGAGAAAATTCGATGAATTTAGATCAAATACCAAATTCCAGTCTCGTTTGAGCCAACAAACACACTGAGACAAAAACTAATTCACCCAAGGACAAGACTCCCAAGGGCAAACAAAGCGACATAGTCTACGCTATTCAATGCTAGGACAATGTGGCGCACTCTGAATAGCCAGTAAGTCTTGGTTGCAAGACTTTCCAGTAGTTCATTCTGCGATACGAACCATCAGACACTGTTACAAGGAGCTATCACCACGCGAATATATGTATCTCAGGAAGCGACTCGTGTGGAGACAGCACCCCGTAACAGTGCCCGTGTGATGGTTCGTGTCGCAGAATAAACTACCGAAAGGTCTTTGAACCAAGACCCAGCTATAGTAGTAGTGATGGGGGAACGAAAGAAACATTGGTGAACTGCAAGTACCAACACGTTGTGGAGACTGCGGTCAACAGCACAAAACACCACCTTTGATGAAGACGTTGGCATTCTGGACAGGGAGGCCAGATGGTTTGAAATGGGGGTAAATGAATAAAAGTATATGGAGGAATCATCTCTCGGCAAAGAAGCAAACATATTTACGCCATAACTTGGTGGCAACAATACAATTAACCCTAACCCTCCTCAATCCTTCACCTGTTGGAGGATTGAGGAGGGTTAGGGTTAAGCTTTGAGGAAGATCCCTCGACGGTTGATAAGTCTTCGACCTCGTCATGGGTCGTCAACCCTTTCCCGCCAGAAGATCAGTTGGTCTGAAGAAGCATCCAGGATAGGACGTTAAACCGTTGCAAATTAAAAGAGTAAGTCCAGATAATCCTTTCAGTACTTCTAGAACTGTGAGTTTTTAATCAACTTTATGCACGACACAGTGAACAAAAGTCGGTATATATCAAAGTTTCGGCTATTCTGATTATGCCAACTTTCTCTGCCATCACAAATATTTGTGCAACGAGGGCTCATACATCCTTGCTTGATGACGTCAGCTGTGTGCTGATATCTCACTAAAAACCTTTGCTGTAGCGACAACAGCTGTGGGTTGTTGAATCGGATGAAGAACTGTGATGAAACAATAGCGCAAGTTCGACACCCAGATTGAGCTGTGACTTCGGCCGTAACAAGGAAACACAACTGCCAATACAGTCTCAGGAGCGTGCTTGTCACCACCTACAACTAGGCCTACTTCCTGAACTGTAAGGTTTAACAATCCTTACAAGCTATGATTGGCCCAGTTAGCTTCCATTCCAATGACTAATCAAAGCTCGGCTTTCATTTGTTGGTGGAAAACAAAAAGGAAAAGATAGGAGATATGTTGCAAACGGTCAAACCGTCATTCTGCTCAGACCGATTGAGAGAGAACACGCCACTGATTTTCTATTTGGCGGATGGGCAAATTACTCTTGAATTTCATCATTTCTGTGAAATATAAGGTGAATAACCCTCCCCATCAGATGTATAACCTCACCAAGAAGGCATGCATGAAATATTGTCGCACGCATATCTGTGATAGCAAATAAGTTGGCAAAAGTTCGAAAGAGCCAAAGCTGTGTTTATGCGAGTTTGTACATTGCTATCTATAAGGTTTGTAAAAACTTTACATTTCATTGCCTTACAGCTCTGGAAGTAACGTACAAGTAGTTAACCGCCTTCTCCAAATGAGAACAGGATCCCCCCCCAAAAAAATATGATAAATCAATCGCGAAGAGAAATGTATACAAAGAAGAAGAGTTCAGGATTGGGGGAAATTCTGAATGAGGTCGGAAACATGTTGGGAAGGGTGACTGAGAAGGTAGCTCCGTATACATTTGAGTAAACCATAAAACTTACTAAACCATAGATGGTTTGGCGTACAGTCTAAGCTGGCATAAATTCGTTATGAAAATCTACTTCTGGTATCACTGAACTTATTTTGAACTTCTTAAAAATTGAAATTGAATGTTCAAAACCTGCTATGAGTAGCGGTCTATGTGCATACCTTTGGCCTTCATTTGTTTCACACACAGAAAAGACATTAAAAGAGATAAAAGCAGGCAAAGTCACAAATGGAGTCGAAACTGAAATGTGGAAAACCCGTGATGTTATGGTACATGTACCCTGAATCGATTTTTTAAAAACTCGTTTAAGAAGGGGCCTAGCTGATTTTCTTCGACTCGGACTTCGTGAACTAGGGACGAAAGAAATTTCAAACGTCTTTAGTTTGTACTCTCAAAACTAAACATGTATAAAAAAGTTACAGCTATGACTAATTAGAGAGATTTTTCTGAAGTAAAACTGTGAGAGTAGGTATATAACCAAAATTTCAAAATTGTAATGGTTTAATTGTATTATCACTTTGTTGAAACCTTTAGAAAGGGGTGTAAGACGAGATTTTTTTACATATTATGTACATTCTTACGAGGAAAAAGTTTCCATTGCCCAGCGCTTTTCAACTTTCTGGCATCAGTTACGTTGGTTTTTTTTTTTAATTAATTATCATTTCGCAAGTCGTCGATTTTTAAAGTCTTGTCAAAATTCATTGTACCCAAATCCAAACCCGGAGAAATTTTATAAAGTTTACACTGTGAGAATGATCCAATAACTACAATTTGATTGGGACCCAAAAGCCTATCAATGCACGTCGTGACAGAAGAATAATTTTCTGCACTACAATTTAAGACCTATTCATAAATATCCAGTGGACAAAAAAGGACTACTTCAGTTTCAGTGTGGTTCGTTTTCCCATGAAACATTTTAGGCCTATGTAGAAACAGAAACAAAATAATTAAATGGTCCCGAACAAGAATGGCGGTATAGTGCAAAATGGCCAAAAAGAAAAGTTGGAAAAGTTTTCAAATTTACGATGCTTATTGTTCCCACTTTTAACAAAAAGTTGTTTGGGTATAAAATCGATCCTGTATAACTATAACTAGTGCGTTTATAATATTCCACTTGACAGTTTTGGCCTTCTTCATACATAAATATTACAAAAGCGGATTCAGTACTGCACCTTCAGCGGTTAAACTTTTTAAGTAGCGGGGGTAAAAATTTTGCATATTTTTCACGTGACCCTTTAAGGCAAAAGCTCCCGGTTCAGATTGACCCCGGAATCGGTTTTCCGTTGGGCTTGAGCCATATCTGAGCCAAACGATGTTCCTTTAGGGATTAAAATGAACAAGAAAATGGTCAGATAGACCCAGAATAGGGTCAGTTTTTCACCTGGAGACAGTCAGACCCAATGGGACACCGCTTCCTGGTCAATCTGACCTGGGGGATTTTAGGGTAAGGTAGGCCTATTGGTTAGGACAAATTTGGGGATCTTTTGTATAGGAAAGGAAATAACATGGCCTAATAAATTCGCCCCTCTCTCTCTCAGATTAAAGAAATATGTTGGGCTCTGTTTGGGAGCATGGTCTCGCCGCTGCCACCCCCTAGTTTACCTTTGAACATTCACAAGGGCAAATTGAAAAACTGACTCTTACAGCCAAAATGAGCCTTCATAAAAGGATTCTGAAATGGCAATAGAAATCGTGAATATAAACAATGTCAGAAAAGCCTGTATTGAGTGATAGACATAATTTAGTGATTTCTGCCCTTTGTAGTTTAAGTGAAGAACAAATCCTGAAAAAAGGATTACCATTCTACTTGTAGTACAGTGCACCCTTTCAACAAGCTGACATCCTATGAATGTTTCTTGGTTTCTTTGTTAGAAGTTGAAACAAATCTGTTCAAGTGTTGTGATTTCCTTGAGAATTATGACTAGTTGACGAACTTATGGTCCAAACTTTTGGCACACTTGCTGGTTGTTCTGAAGTCTGTGTCTGAGACGGTTGCAGTCCGTGTCCCCTTTTTGACATCGTTGTCATTGGTGTAGCGTAGAGTGGTGGAACGGTGTAGTTATCAGGCGGCTTGGGAGGATGGGACATATCAGTGACGAGTAATGAGTAAAGGGTCGATTGGCGTCTGACCTGCTGGATTTGGGCACAGCTTTGACTCCCAAGTGATAAATCAGACCAGCTCATATTGGTAGACGATGAATCTCCATAAGGACGGCCGAGAATTTCATGATTATCGAAAGGTTCTTTGGTAGACACTTGTATATCGGCTACTCCGCTGTTCTTTTCGACGTCGTGCATGGCTTGATGGACGGTGAACACTTGAGTCACTCCGACTTTGTTGTTAGCGACTCTGTGTGTTCTTTTATGCGTGTATCGGCAGATAAGAATACCGAGACCCGCTCCTGACGCACCTGTGACCATGCACATCACCCCAGGCACAGATGGATGATATGACCTCCCCTCAAACATGAAGACAATCCCCAGGAGCACCAGCGGAAAACCAAAGCTTACAAGCACGATAGCTACGATGAGAAGAGCAGCGTAAATGGTGGAAGCGACTCGACCAGAAATGAAGCCGTGGTTACCGGCTTGCTGACTTGTCCGTCGGCGACGATGATGGGGAAGATGTCTGTGGTGTTTCCTACGGCGTTTACGTCCACTTAGTCCCATTATCGTCCTTTTTGTTTTGTTTAGTAGTGTAGTGAACAATGACATCAAACCCGTTACATTTATAACGTTTTCTGTCGAAGAATTTCTCTAACATTGAGAGTTGAACACTCCGTAGATCATTCATTTGCAGTTTGTGATTGGCAGATTCACGCAATCTTCTGTGACAGCTCACAGCTGCTAGCAAGACGAGATGTGTCTAATTTTCCTAAAATTAACCTCTTTTCACGCTGGTGTCCGTCATCTCTGCTTCAAGGTTTACCACTCCGCAGATGGAAGCACGTTTTGCTAAAATGATGTGAAACGTCCTCGTTATTTTTCACCACGCAACTTGGTAAATGCCTGCATTTTGTTTGGGAGCACGCTCCGAACAATACCAGTTTACTAGCAGGAAATTAACGTCTTCTTCCACTGAAGTGACCTCCCCATGGAACGTAAACGATTCTGATTAATGCTCATTGGCGACTTCGAGGCATTCCCGATCTAATAGCCTACATTGTTATATGTGCAGGAGCCGGTGCCTCCTACATGCTTTAACTATGTCAAGAACTGACCGCGTAGCTCATGTATTCTATAATTAGCCTCTGATAAATGAATCTAGTTATAAGGTAACAGCACAAGACAAATGGAGCTAAGTAGTTTCGAAGTGATGTACACGGTGAAAATTGCATTGTTTGGCCGTTAGCGTTTGAGTCTGGCACACAATGCAAATGAACCCTCTCAGTGTTTGCCTTTTGAAGCTCATTGAAACAGCGCTGTTACGTAATGTTTTTCTTAGCTATTTGGACAGCTAAAGAACCATTTCAAGTCGGGTTTTGGGGGTAAGAAATTCAATGTGCTTTGGTCGCTCGCAAACACCCCTTTGCACAAACAGACGTCAACTCACCACTCCATCTTTTAGATGATGTGTGGTCCAAGAGGTGACGTGGAGGTGGCAAAAGTGAAGAACGTGCCCAGAATATCTAATGTCAGTTAACACAGCTTCTCTTTTCGGGAAAATACTTTCAAACTGATGATTTTGAAGTGGAACAGTCATTTTATCTCATTGTCTCCATCTTAGTTATCTTTTGCCTCTATGTGGTCATGGTGGTGCTTAAGGTGATCGGTACTTGGACATTGATTGGGAATGGGCTCATCATTTGCGACCTTAAGCACTGTGCATTGTGATTGTATGCAATACGATAGGGTTAACGAGACGGAGCTGCCAGAGAAGGCTGTTATTGAGTCCCTTGTAGGTCCTGTCCTAAGACCGGCAAAAGCCTGGCCATAAATAGCATGAGCGAATAATTACCTGGAATATTTTGTCACAGATCATTTCTACTTGTTTGAGGACTGGATGACCGAAACAAGTGGTTCCCGGAATTTTAATGGAGTTATCGCAAAACTTCACTGAAAACAATTGTTCATGTTTATCACGCAAACCAAGTCAAACCATCGTAATTGTGGAGACAAGTTTTGAATAGCGCCTCTGTTGGCAAATTACCTGACAGACCGGCACGAACAAACAAAGGGATCACTAACAATTACAAGCAGACATTGACCACAGTTGAGAACCAAAATGCAGTGCTTTGGATTTCAAAGTTATTTCTCAGAGGATGCCGGGGGTACATTTCAGGGACATCAATTTCAAAACATTTGTTGGGATCTGATGTGCTTTACGGGTATGGATGATTTTGAATTAGTTATGAACGTTGTTAATGCGTGTAATGACATGTTTATCGATTGTTGATGGAAAACATTTGCACGATTATTTTCTTGAAGAACTCACCTTCCATTATCAATACTGATGAAATTCATAATCTTATTTATTTTTTTACAGTTTTCACGGAAGAAGTAAAACCTTCAGAGGAGACCTTTGTTAACGGTGTACATCTTACTGGCATGGCCGATATCTTGCAGCTTATGTGCTGTAGAAATCTTTTGCTACTGACCTAGAAATTAACCAGTTGTGGACACGCTGGGATGCAACCAATACGAATCATAACGTTAGTTAGTTTTTCCAATGTTCTTAAACCCGAAAGAAATTAAACAAAAAAACATACGCTAGTTCCGAAATCCGGCATCGACCGAGTCATCAGTAATTTGAACCTTTAACTAACATATAACTGAAAGTACCAGAGTTGTAAGAATTTCAAGATTCCTCTCAATGAATTTCACAGAAATACTCTGTTCGTCTTCAGGAGGGTGACTGGTTGCCTGGCTCTGAGGATGCTGGTTCTTAAGCGCTGGAGAGGATGCTGAGGGTGCACAGGAGCAGAACAGCTTTCTTGGCGGATCCGCTGGACTGAAAGGCCACTGAGTGCGCTCACTGATGCGTGACAGTGGGGCACTGGGTGCAGTGAGTGGAGGAACTAGTGTCTTGGGTATGGATGACCCATTGGTCTGGGAGGGTAATATGGAGTCCCAGATACTGCTGATGTGGAACCCAACGTCTTGGGGGACTGTTTTGTGCTTTTAGATCTCGATTGCTTCCCTAACGCGTCTTGGGTACCATTTCAGTGTTTGCCCCTAAGGCTTGTGAAAAAAATACAAGCGTAGCCTACTCGGGTGAGACTTCAACCCACGACTTCCTGCTTACTAATGCATACGTCTTCACTCGACCATGCAGCGAGCTTGCCGGTGTCGGCTGGCTGGGTCGAATCAGATGTAGCAGGTAGTGCAAACAACTATTTCCAAGGATGAATTTGCGCCTGGGAGATGTTAATTAATTTTGGATTTTTGTCTTACCCGACGTGTGTTATAACAGTGTACACTCAGTGTTCTCCTGAGTCGATCTGAAACGACCAAGCACATAATGGGTGTACCATCTTAGTCAGAGAGTAAAAGAAAATCAAAAGAGGAACATTTCAAGGGATTTTGCCAACAATTTTTCTTTTGCCTTTTTGGAGGAGATATCAGGGAGGTCTGCCTCTCCCCGTCGTGTCACAACTGCACCTTCAATAGCCTTACGTCCCAACGACCTATTAGGGTCAGCATGACATATCAAAGTTTAACACCCACTGAAAGATTAAAAATTCCTCTCTGTGATTTCTTTCTAAAGTTTTGTTGACACGGTGCACGGTATTATCAGGAAAGTTTCTTTTACAAATACGTTACTGAAGTTTGTCCTTTTAAAGTAAACCCTCCACAATGAACACGCTGTGGCGTACTGTGTCCATTTACATGTATGCACGATAGGAACAAAGAGCAGCTTGTTAAATTCAAACGGTCATACATTTGTCATTCAGTCCGCTCCCTCCTCACCTCCAACTTCGTGTTTATGTGACGTCAGTTGTCCACTGGCTTAAGGATCAAGGTGAGAGAATGCTCGTACTTAAATTTTTATGTCAGAATGTTATGGTAGATTTCCATTGAGGTCGTTCCTCGTTTGTGTATGTCATTTATGACACCCATCATTAGGGGTCAAACTAGCAAGGTTGAATTACACTAACCGAAACAAGGCCTAATGGTCTACAATCCTTCAATATGATTTTACATACACCCTATTGAGTTAGGGCTAATTGTCCACGGTTTTATTTGTCAGATTAAACTTTATCACTTTACAATCAGTGATAACATGGCATGAGGAATGTACGTTATTTGAAAGGCTATTCAAGAAAATCTTCATTATCAAAACATTACACATGTGTTCACTTAAAGTGTGGTTTAATTTAGGCATTGTTTAGAAATTTCAGGAGCCTCTCCAAATATCTTCATTTCCTTTAAAAAGCACAATTTGGTGGAAATCAATTTCTTATAAGAACACAAAGAAGTCTAACAAGTGTCAACCAATTTCCCATAAATCGTCGAAATTTTTTAACAGAATCTAAAACGTGTCTCCGTGCGCGTGTTATTTATGCTTTGTCATTCAATTTCTTCAGTACTGAAAACGTGGTTTTTTTCAGATGGCAAAATTGCAGAAGGCTTCTTTGTCTGATGGATATCAGGTTCGACTCATGATGTGGACAGTTCCTCGCTCCCTATCAACTGTTCTTGCAAAATGTCTAACAGCTGTCGATAAATCAAAGGTTTTCTTCGAACTCTATGTTCATGCCCATTGGAAAGATCCCAAAAAAGACCATGACATGTTCGATACCTCAGAAATAGGAAAGAAATTCGCAGCTTCTCAAAAAAGCTTCACTGAAAAGACAGGGATATCTGCAGAAAGGGATGATTTTCCGTCTAGCTTTCTATCAATCAAGGAATTACTTGAGGAAGCTCATGATGGAAAGAAATTCATACTCTGCAAAGATATGGCCCACGCGGTTACTCATCGTCTAGGGTTCCTTCCAAAGGATTACCGTCATTTGTTTCTCATCCGTCATCCCCTCAAGGTCTTCCCATCTTGGAAAAAAATATTTCTACAGTCAGTTCCAGATATGTCTCCAGATGAATTTTGCTTGGAGGATCTGCCCGAGAATATTTTCCCGAAAGGTTATGGCTACCAAGAAATCAGTGAGTTGGTTGATTACGTAAAGAAGGAGCTTGATCCAAACGCAATCATCATCGATGCTGACGACCTTCTTCAAGATCCAAAAAGTATCCTGTCAGCTGTCTTCAAAGATATCGGGCTGCCCTTCGATGAGAAGATTCTTCACTGGGAAGCAGGAGATGCAGTCACTCACCAGTGGACCATCCCACAGTACTTTTTGCAAGGAAACCAGTTTGGAGGATATTACCAAAACGCATTGGACAGTACGTGCTTCCTGAACACCAGGCGTCTCCCGGATCGCTCGTCTATTCCTCCAGACTTGCTCCGTTTGGTAGAGGTATCTGTGCCATACTACGAGAAGATGTATAATTCGCGTTTATCTGCCAAAGAGGAGTCAGACACAAAACGAAGATCATTGCATTCATAAATTTATCATTTTCAATAATGTGAAAGTGATAGTTCACCCTGTTGGTCCATAATGCATTGCGTTGTTCTCTTTCTGGTCACCTTAGGGCTTGGTGGGTGTAGACGGATGGCGGCTAGATACCATTTTGAACTACGTGTAAGCTGATGTGTTTAAAATAAGCATTGATTTTATCTGAGGCCAATTGTAAGTGATTTATTATTTATTGTATTTCAGTATGCATTGTGTATGCAAAATCAAAATGACGAAGAAGAGAACATGGGAAACGAGGAAGCAAACATGCACTTGCATCATTTCGTCCTTAAACAGACATGCAAAAAGATAACAAACAGACATGAACGGATAGCCAAAGTAGATAACTAGTGCAACATGTAAACGCTAACCAAATATAACGCTATTCCGAACACAGAGCCAAGCCCTTGGCAAATAAGGATATCAAATTCCAAAGTTAGATATTAAAATGCAAAGTGCTTGAAGTTGGAGATTACTAGTGCTATAACTTCGAAACTCACAATACACAATTTATTGTATCGACATATACATCGAGGGTTTTGAATACACGTGTAAATATCGTTGGCTGTTTGGGAAATACATATTTGGCAGAGTTGGGATGATTTCCATGAGAATTACCCAGTGGCGTAACTCTGTGCCGGAAATTTGGGGGATGGGGGAAAGGTGGGTCAGGGATGACCTGCCAGGGCATTAAAAATATGAAAAGCGGGGGAACACCATAATAGACTCCATAGGGGAAGATGTTCATGATAAAGATGTACATCTGTAATGTGTATCAAATTCATGTAGAATCTTACATCAGAATGGCTTTATTTAAGACTTTTAAAATTGTTCTTTTTATTTGTATTCCAAACGTTGCATTTATTGGGAAATCCAAACATTCTTCGCAATCCACTTTAACTTCATAACTCATCACCAAATGTGGGGGGTCATTCAATAGCCCCTTCCCAACCTAAAAAAGGTGAGGGAAGATATACCTCTCCCCCCAGGATTTCTGCCGATGGAATTACCGTTGTGTGGTGTACTTATAGTCCAAACGTTTGGCATACCTGCCAGTTGTACCCAAGTCTTTGAGCTGGTTATAGTGTCATCTTTTGATATGAACTTTGCAGTGGTTGATATCAGGCGACTTGATTGGACGGAGCATGAAAAATAAGTAATGAATGCACTCGAGTGAAGGGTCGATTGTCATCTGACCTGTTTGGTTTAAGCACAGCCTTGTACGATTATCATTGTTCAAGTAACTCTTTTTTTATCTAATGTTCGTTTTATGCACTATTGTTTAATCATTCCGAATTCCCACGGATGAAATAACGAATTGAGTATAGCAGAGATCCCTGTAATCCAAGTATTTGTTATGTTTTATGTTGGATGTTCTTCTGTTACATTGTGTTTTACAAATCTATAGTTATTATGAACTACATTTAGAAATAATTAGCCAGTTGTGACCAAGCTGGGATCCTGGCAAACATGAGTCATAGCATCGACCAAGTCATCAGTAATTTAAATATTCATTTAATATGGAACTGAAAATACCAGAGTGTTGCAGTTTTAGAAATTTCTTCAGTTTCTTTCCATACAGAGAAAAAGTTGAATCCACTGCATATTATTTCAAAGTCGAATATTACAACTACATGTATGCGTAAAACCTGTCGAAATACTGTAGATCACACGCTAATACTCTCGTCATAAGTTTGGGAATATAGCGGGGCGTCCTCTGATACACTTATCTGGCGCTTTTTAAATCACATGAGACACTTTAAACTCCAACCACTGTTATCAAACTGCAACGACCTTTTTCGCAATTCCCCCCATTTTTATTTGAGCTGCGGTGACAAATTGTCAGGGCGAGATAAGAGTCAGCGGGGCATATCAAACGGTATCATCAGTCCAAAGTCACTGAATGATGATACTTTGTACTTTCTATTCTTGACAATTTTCGATCATCAGAAAATCGCTATTTCTGGCAGGGACGACCGAACTGCTCCAGCAGTGGCAGCGTCAGCAAGGAGTCCTGTGTTTAGTTTGGTGTCGCGCTAAGTTCGATTCCCGTCATTTCCTTCAGGATCAAGTAAAAAAATTCCCGTTCGAAATTCTTATTTTTCACTGATTAGAATTTTAATATGCTGAGCTAGTCCCATCCCATTGGGGATATTTTTAGGTTTATAGTAAGGCAGTTAAATGTAAAGGGTCATGTAACTACTTTGATCTATGTTCCATTCATTGGAGTCACAAAGCAAGCTCCCTCCAAAAACTCTATTATTTCCTTTCCAAGCAATTTGGTTCGTTAACTATCAAAGCAATAGCCCACATTTTCACAAATTGCGCTGAATTTTGTGCCAAAATAAGTTTACACACAAAAGTGATGCATTCTGGAAGCTTTGGATGCTCTGTATAACCATGGAGGAAGGACACAGAGGGAGTTACAACTCAGTTCAAAGTGCTCGATGAGCATCGCCGCCCGGTCAGACAAACAATAGTAAACATTCCAGAAATACCCGATTACTGACTGCAGCTTAGCCATACAAGTGAGGCCAGTAATATCCTAGCAATATAGAGGGATCCCAATACGACGCTTTTAGCGTCGATCTGTGCACTTCTGCGTTTGAAAACGACGCTGTGTGTGTCAGCTTCAGTTCTTAATACAATCAAACGATTGAAAGTTAGGAGTCAAGACACAAAATACATAAAGGTATGNGTAAATTTAAAAGAAAAATAACGGAAGGTCGTGAATCTGCATGTGCAGTGGGCGTGGTTTAAACTGAAGTGGCGTCACACTACGAACCAGATGCTGCATGTACATGTACTGTGTCGACTCCGCGGGCGCGCGCGAGAAAGTTAACACAGAGAGCCTCGGTTTCGATGTGGACATGCGCAGACGGCGCTAATGTGAAATCCCTCGCCGTGACCACGAAATAGTATGGAATTCCATATCGTTCTTTAGCTTTTTGTTGGGTCCCAATTCTGCTATTTACCAGTTCCAAACATGCCATTTTCCGTCGCCCGTCGTGCGTCGCCCGTCGTGCGTCTCCCGTCGTGCGTCGCCCGTCGTGTGTCTCCCGTCGTGCGTCTCCCGTCGTCCGTCGCCAGTCGTGCGTCGCCCGTCGTCCATCAAATGAGTTGCATAGCGCCTGCAAACGCCGGAGTTTAACATATTACAATGTGATGATTCCATTCACTTATAAGGATCTTTTCCTAACAGGCAAGTACAAATCCAACCTGCAAAACATATATTAGTCCCATAATTAATGCCAATAATGCTAGACTACCCCTGCCCCTTGACAAGAAAATATCGCCTTTCTGAGAATTCAACCAAGTGTTTTTTGGGAAAAACGTTTTCAGTAAAATGTTCGGCCAACTTATCCACAGTCTTTTTCTACTTTGCATACTGTATGTGCCGACTTGTTGTCGTCAAATTCCAGAAAGAAATCTGCCAGCCGATACAGATATTCCATTTTGTCCTCTCAATTTCCCCTTGAAATCCAGAAATACTAGACAGTGCTGTGGATAACAAACTGTTTATTAAATGTATTGTTGGGGGCAATTACCACTTGGCTTAAGTTTCAGAAAATGTGACGTGTTGGTTTTGTGGGTGTGTATGCCATGGTGGATAGACCAATGAGAACAGGCTGTCCAGCACATCAGCTTTATTTATGGGGCTAACAAGTAACGTTACTGTTTAAAAGACTTCTGTGAGCCTATCTGCAACTCAAGTCATCTCTAATTTGGAGTATACAGCAGATTTCATCATAGGTATACCCGCCCTCAAAATAATGTTGAATTAGTTTGTCTGTGATGAAAACAATTAAGGAATCAAGCATTGTAAATAGTTTATTATTTACATTCAGTTCTGTAGGATATCGTGCAGGGACAGACAGAAATATTACATAGGCTATAGGCCTAACGTCAGGCCGTTAACGAGTACAGTTACGTCTAGAGTAACTAAGTTATCGATGTAACAAAAATTGTATTATTTCATATACACGTCACTTTACCCATGTCAGTCTTTAAAAATGAAAGGATATAATTTTTTCTTTCAAGTGGAGTTTGGCGCAACTGCAAAAACGAATACATCTTCTAGTTCTACTGCTAAAATGAGAGTCAGGCACGATGGATCGATCGCACAAGTACGTGGACATGTGAAACGATCGAGGGTCAAAGTTAAAAATATCACTGCGCAACCGAGGCAAAGAAAAAAACGGCCGACGGGCGACGCACGACGGGCGACAGACGACTGGCGACGGACGACACACGACGGGCGACGCACGACGAGCGACGGACGACGGGCGACGCACGACTGGCGACGGACGACGCACGACGGGCGACGCACAACGGACGACGGGCGACGCACGACGGCAGATATGGAATTCCATAATAAAATAGATAGCCAAAAAGTTCTAACATTAGATCTACTTTTGCCATCGTGAATAAACTTTTTATTTTGACACGTAATTATGTTTGTAATTTTATTTTGTCTCTTCAAACGATCAGTTTTCAAAGTCTGCACAAATTGGGCTCAGAGTGGCCAACAACATGTTGACCACCAAGTTAATAACAAACAAAATGCGCTATTTCGTCACAAGGAGTGATCATGAGATTTCATGAAATACCTTTTTGTACAAATGCCGCCATGAATAGGATTCAAATAAATCACAATATCTCATAAACAACCTGGCTATCTATTCCTAAAATACCTCCAGAAAAAAAGCGTTCGATAAGTTCAATGATTGCACATGAATACTTGGGCACACAGCCTAATACAAGCAACTGCGCAAGCATTAAATTTGATGTTCTTGTCAGGTCATATCAATCACCAACGATGGCATAAAATTTAATATTCAAATTCCTATACTGCAGTATAGGAAGAATGCAGATTACCAGCGAAAATTGCGGCGATGATCAAGGGGTTAGTCAAAGGAGGCTTATGCATGGTTGTGAAACTGGTGGTGCGTAGCTAGCATTCGCTGCGCTCTTGCAATAGACATACCGAGCATGCCAGAAAGCGGTAACCGACCGGATGTTATAGCCCAGGCGTGTTCAATGGACATTCCTAATGCCCTCTTTCTTGTGTAGAAAGTGTTGTGTGGGATTATGTATCGAGTGAATGCCCTGCAACAATTGCTTCGAACGTGTAATAATTGAACCAGTACTCTGGCATAAAAATTAGCCCCTTGTCTATCAGCGCACTTGATACACTCGGCGTTCACGGTTAACGTCATGTCCTTAAAATCCAGCCTTCCATGGGTCGGCAATAAAAATGCCATGCCGAGGATTCCCTTGACCTCCAGTTTCGTGAAAACAACGCACACTGTACTCACTGACCTCCCTACATGGACTTCTACCCGGGCAGTCTTCATTGTTTTTATTACGTCCCATCTGCATGCCAACTGAAGTCTTAAATCTTGTGGAATCCTGAAGTAAGTTAGTCAAGACAGTTGGGTGTTTGTGGCTCCCGTGTAGTAGACTAATATGTTAACTTTTACTCCCTCAATGCTGGAACAAACAGCCTAGCCTTAATTCTGTCTTAGAGTTGGCACTTCAAGGGTGGGCAAATCTTTCTTGAAACCCGAGGATGCTTCCTCGTAAGCCTCTCCTTCCGGTAATTGTTGATCGCTCTCAAGGTCTATTACCGTGCCTGCCCCTTGAGAGTGACCTTCTCAGGATTTTCTTGACCCTTCGCTTGCTCGGGCCGGTTCACGGGTCCTGATTGTCTTTTCCCGACTTCCTTGATCTCCTGACCTTCGTCTCCTTGCTGCCCCTTGCAAAAGGAACCCTTCTGCCTGTATTTGTAGCACACATCTTCCATGCTCGCCTCTCTTTACACGAAAAGTCTTGTTTTCCCTTCTCCCTTGTTGGGACTTGCTTTCCCAATCGAGCAATTATCTACTGAATAGCTTGATCTACGGTCTGCTTTACTAGTTACTGTGGCCTCCATGGTCGGCTGCTTAACCATTCTCACGTTCTTCTTCGGTCTGTCTGCCTTTCTCTGCTCCTCAATCTTTTGATAACTCTCAGCAGCCAGGGTGGCTTTGATTGAATCCTCCAGGGTGCTTAGCTTTGCCCTGAAAATTGCTTCTCTTATCTCCCATGCTGGTCACTTAGTCCATGAAATGTCCTCGTGCCAACCGATCCCTACCTTCCTCTGAAAACTCTGGGTAGGCTAACGAAGAGAGTTCCCTTATACTCTGCCATAACTCCTGTAAAGTCTCTTTTTCTTTTTGGCGAAGGTGCCGAAGCTCCATCAAGTGGTATCCCGCCTGTTGGCCCGGACCAAACCTCTGGTCCAATGATGAACAAATCAAATCCTGGAAGGAATCTCTTTCCTTCCATCTGGCAGCCCAACACACTTAAGGCCAGCCATCGAAGACTTGCAGCAAGAAACACTTTTGCTTGCTCATCTCTCCATATTGGCCACACGGCAGGCTGCGAAGTGTGCCTTATAGTCCTTCCATGGCACTTTACCGTTGAATCTATTCGGACATATGTTTGGCCTCTTCAACTTCAGCTCTGGTCCAGCCACATCCACCTTGACTGGCTCCACTGTATTTTTCTCAAGGGCTGCTCCTGCATTTCCCTCGTCTTCACTCGTCCTAACTGGACATTCTCCTCTACTTGTAGAGGTCGCAACCGTATTTGCTGGGGTCGCTGGCACCGTTCCCAAGGGCGACAACCTAGGTGTTGCCGAGAATAGCTCTGACGTCTAGATTTCCACTAGACTAACCAGTTCACGTTGCTTTGATTCTAGCAACTCCCTTCTTTGCAACTCCTTAGTGTCCTGAAGGTGCTGTCTTTCCGAGATTGCACCCTGAAGTAGTTCTTCTCCCCTATTACATGTAATATCCATTAGTAAGATGGCAGGTTCCTCTTCCATCTGTTCCCCAGTCAGTGGTTCCATCCCTTTCTTAAATGATTCTCCAATCTTAAGATCCCTGATGCACGTTTTTATCCCACTTCTGACACCTATGTGGCGCCGACCGACTTTCGCCAAGGTCGGTCCGGCCTCCCGACCGACCCTTCGGTGAGCCCAGACGAACGGCTATCCAGGTAAACCTAGGTGGTGAGTCCGTTTGGAGTACCGTATTCCGCCAACAGACTCTCTTCAGGACGGACACTTAAGGACAGACTTCAGGGACAGTTATTAAAGGGACTGACTGGACAGACAGACGGAGAAGTAATGGACACCGACACCTTTAATTACTGGCTTCAAATAACAATCACAAGGTTTTAAATTACTGATCTCCTTCTAATTGGCAAGAAACTCCTTCACTGAATAAATAATCAAAGGGCGGCACCTTCGTGGAGGGTAATGACCGTAAAACACAGCCAGAGCCCCTGGCCCACAGCGCAAACTACAAGAAATCCCAGGATCTCCAGCCCGCACAAAGACCGACTTCCCCAAGGGAATAACCAAGAGCTCCTCAGTGCGTCCCTACCTTCCGATCCGCTATCTTTCCTACACAATAGTTCAGCACTTCAGTCTGGTTCGTCCCCGTTCGCTCTAGACGCAGAGCAGCGATCCACACACACGTCTTGCCTTCATGACGCACCGCGATCATCTCCTTTCGCGCCCACACAGTCCGCCGACTGGAGGCGCTGCGAAACCAACTACTAGCGCTGCTAACTCGCTGCAAGCACGCTTTTGCGCTACAATATGTTGCCGTTTTTCCAATGGGTGCACCACTAGAAGAAAATTCCTATAGACAGCAGTGATAAATCCCCATACTTCAAAAATATTTTTAAAATACCCACAACGCTCACAGGTTTTCAGGCTGCACAGAAAAATGATGTTCCACATGTCCCCTTTCATTTTCCTCTCAATTTTTAGTGGGTTGACCAATGACTTTTTGAGAAATTCTCACCCAAACAGACCACCCCTAAAACGAAGGAATTTCACTGCCCGGGAGAGTAGCCATTTTGGAAATGCATATTTCTGGTCTTTTTGCAAGGGTACACCCCTATGGCTCTCGTCATGTAGTACTTTGGGTGCGGTACAGTTTACTATGGTGTACTATTTACGACACACATTTCTCTCTCTCCCTCTAGCTTCCCTCCAGGCGACGCAACTACACGACGCGACGGCACGACGGCCCCCTTGGGACGTGCCGTCGGTTCGCACCGTCGCCTTCTTGCCATTACGTTTGTACACACACGACAGTACACGACGCGTCGCGTCGTGCGTCGCGTCGTGTTTCAGGCGACGTAATAGGCGATGCGATGTACGACACGACGTACGACGCGACGCACGACAGTGCGACGGGACGGGCGACGGAAGGGGCGACGTTTAGGGAGAAAGAGATGCAACAAGGAAAGGAAGCAAGACAGCGCGACGCAACGGGTCACACGGCACGACGCGACGAACAACGCGACGCGCCGCCCTTTGCTTCATGGTGTTTATAGAGGGCGCCTTTACTGTTTTCTTTTCTTTCCCCCGGTCCGTGCTTGCACAGTACATGCCATAGGCAGCAGGTCTTGGTTTTTCTGTTCTTTTTGTGCAACTTTCTGTTTTCATTGAGTGAGTTTTTTTTTGTGTGTGTTTTTTAATCAAAATGTAATCAGAAAGAGCTTTGCCACCAATCAGCATTGTCTTCAAGAAATAAATACACGTCAGCCACAACGTTTTAACTTTTCCTGCTTATCTTTCTAGTAATTATTTTGTAAATCCACTCTTAGAAACAATACGTCAATAACTATTACGTGCTTGCAAAAATGTAACAGGTAGATCTGATGAGACTTGAAATTATGCGCGTGGCCAAACAGAGTTGAAGAAAAGACACCGTCACTATGGTAGTAGGATCTACAGTGTTTTATTAAGGCCTGGGATTACCTCGGTTGATATTACCCGAACGAATATAAGAGATTACCTGTCTGAGCTGTGTTGCGCTGAATTGAAAGGTGTATCTGAATCTGAAAAGTTGTGCCTGTACAGGGTTAAGACATTTTTTGACTTGAGATTCTATCATTGTTCGAGATCTCCCTCCAGTTTCTCAAAGTTATACCACAAGGTTAAAGAAAACCTAATTTTGTTTTAAGTGGGCGTAATGATCATCATCGGCAAACAATTTTTAATTTTTTAGGTATATGTATAAGGGAATTGAAATGGGAAATAAACTGTCAAACAGAAAGGTTTAGAAGAATTTACGTTCAGCCGCAGGAAATGAATGGGGACGAAATGATTGGTCATTCCATTTAATGAAATCGCCTCACTTTTCGATGTTTATTTTTTAATGTATATTTTATGAAAGATTGTAATTATTTATTGTTAAATTAGTCATTTTAATATAATCCTTTCTAACCTTTTCGCAATAGTAATAAGTCAGTGTATTGTAATCAATAAAATGTCATTTACAATGTTTCACTGAAGTTGATGTTTTACAACTGAATGATAATTTATATTCTAATGAGAATTCTGTGATAACCCTATCATACAAACAACCAGAAACGAAACAACCAAGAAAAATCTTCATCCCCTTTTAAAACTATTATTGTTATTATTGTTACTTTACTTATCAAGCAACACCTTAAACATTCAGTTAAGGATGGTCATTCTGTACATTGCAATTTATTAATGTCTTTAGATCACGACTTCTTTAATTTTGTGTTTAATATCCATTTCATATTATCACTATCATCTCCTCTTAATCATAAATTGTCTAAACTACATGGATTCTCTTTGCAAGGGCAAACCCTGTACAAGCTTGGCTTCTTGTATGGCCTCCCCATATTACATGTATTTTAAATAAACCACGTTGAAGAGTTTTCTTCCCCTCGCGTATCCCCCATACTCTATGCACGTAGTATGAAATAAACCGGAACCCGAACCTCGTTTTATTCGATGACATCTCTTCGTTTTACTGAATGCTGAAGCTTTTGTGATTTCGGAAACGAAACTCTAGATTACTTGACTCAATTTAAATGCAACCCTTTACGCCGTTGAGGGTATCGTAGCTGAAGGGAAGCTAATGGAGGACAATTTTCTACAACAATGACGTAATCAAGTCTTCTAAATCGCAATAAGGTGGGAATATTAAAAGTGCTGATTAAGCAAAATCGGAACACCGATAAAGCAATATTAGAACGCTGATATGCAACATCGGAATGCTGATAAAGCAAAACCGCAACAGTGATAAAGCACAATGGGAAGGATGAAAATAATAATATTTATTATTATTTGCGGAAATAGGTTGAGTGGATAAAAAATCTTTGCAACGGGCAAGCAAAACTCTGCCTAAACGTCGTCTATAACTCACCAGTTACAGGAAACTTTATAACTTATGTAAGTATATAGTTGGATGACACTAAGAAAGTTTTCATGGTGCAATTATAGGTCACCATATTGTTGGCCATTGTCATGCTGTTCCTGTTCATTCGTTGGTCGTTACTCTCTCACGTGGTCTAGTTATTTCCGCGTCCCCTTGCACGACCTTGAGAGCCTGAGAAGCAATGTGGAAAAGGAACAAAGTCTTATATCTTACTGCAGAGTGTACTGTGCATCCTCGTCCCCATCAATCGATACCATTGCACGATATGGGGCTGATGGGTACCCCCCTCATGTCCAATCCCTATACACACACTAGGCTATTG